ATTCAGAACTATTGAAGTATTGAAAGTTTACTATTAACAAAGGAAACATTGAATTTGGCTTCATAGTTTAGTGACTAATCCAAATAACTAATGTATCTGAGAGTATTCGACCATTTTTCATATTGGCCAATTTTAAATGTGAAAAATGTTGAGATTCTTTAAATAAGTTACTTTGGTTTTGCCTGTGTTGCTAGTAATTTGCAGTCATGTAAGTTACTGTCCGCAGAGGAAGACTGCTAATACAAGCTTCTATTCAGAATATCTGTGATAAAAGAATAAAACTATTTTAATATGAACTATTCAAACTGATATATTTACCTACTGATTACAAATATCCAGTGGAAAAAGTCAACTGAGGAAGGATTTAAGAACACAACTTTTAATTTTTCACTATGAGCTACGTGCTAAATTATTGCATGCTTGCCTCTATTAATTTTGATCTTGAACTCCAAGGGAAGAGCAGAAAAGTCTGAATGTTTGGAAAGTTAAATGAAGATGCTTACAAATTGCCTAACAAGATCAAACTAGTGTTTATAGTTTGGTAATTATGTTTTAAGCTATCTTCATTAAAAAAATACATTTTTGCTGCTACATTATAAGAGATAGCAATTATTTTTCTAAATGTTAAAAATAGATACAGTAAAACATGTGAAACGAAGGCTTTGCATTATAGATGTAGTATTTCTTAATATATTCTGTCACTTGCTACAATTACTTCATTTGCCATCAAAACTTAGTTGTTTCCATACCTACATGTATGGCTTATCAGAGAAGGAAGAAAAGAAAAAGCAACATCAGATACAGCTAGCAAGAGGAAAGAATTATTTCCTCGCTAGGCAAATAAGCCGCAAGTAGTAAATTTTATAAAAAATGGCTTAATATTTTGTAGACTATCAGAATGCTGTAAAAAATATTTTATTTAAAGCTAAAGACGTTGTGCTGGACCCATCACTTGCAGAAAGCCACTGAATTCCCCAAGAAATAAATCTGTGCTCCTATTATATAATATTCAGACTTACTGAGCTTTGAATTTGATTAATCAGCAATAGGCTCCTGAAAACACACTGGCAAAAGCCACTGAATTGGCAGCAAGTAATCCTGGAGTAGTCAAGTAAGGCAAGCATGCTGTTTGGAAGTGACAGAGGTGCTAGGATATTTAAGGATAAGAATAAGCAACAGTTCTTGCAAATACCTGGAAAATACCGGTAACTTCTGTGAGAGTGAAAAATATAAAAAAGCCAAACTGCCTTGCCTAAATTAGCCATGAAGTTCAGAGTATATCAGCTACAACATCTCATTTCACAAAATATACTTATGAAATGGTTAGAAATGAAAAATCCCATATAAGCAGAGCTTGTGATTTACATTGCACTTGGTAGGTTTATGCAGCTTTAAGGACAGCTGCACCAACACAGAATTCACTTAGAGGTAAATGGTTCATCTCTGCTTAACCTCTCCAGAATTTACACAAAGAAGGGACAATTTTCAACTCTGCTGAACTCTCCTACAGGGCAGACAGTGGACTCTGGATAGAGCTCATGGAGTTTCCATGCCTTCTGGCCAGCGCTGTCTAGGTTTGGTTTCAGAGGGGTGGCCAGCTACAACTCTTTCCTGGCAGCCTTTCTGCGCTCAGGGACAGTGTGCCCCACGAAACACCAAAATGGTACCCGGCACATTTTAGCTTCCAGTACAGACTACTGTCAAATCTCATTTATCATTGTATCTGGAGCATACAAACAGGCAAATCTTAACAAAGACACAATCCTCTTACCTTCCTCTGGGACAAAATGCCCTGTTGGGTGACTAGCTGACTAATCGTAATGGTGCAGTATCTCAACTTAGCAGTGATACTCTGAGTGTCAATGTCATCTGAATTTTTAAACAAGATGTCACCTCTTTCTCTATTTTTGTTGTTGCTGCTCAGATTTCCTTTTCACAGGGAATGCAATTATTTATACTGCAAGCAGAAAATAGGACACTGTTTTATTTTTTAATTTTGTTTTATTTTACTGCCTGCTAGAGCTCTGAAATGAAATGGGTTTAATTTACTACACTGTTCCGGCTCTAGTCGCTACTAAGAACTTCAGTAATGTAGTACATAGGGTTACGGTTTGTCACTGGGCTGAAGGAAGTTCAATTGTCATCCCAGTATCAATCTTTATAATTACAACTGATCTTTCACCCTGCTGTGCTTGAGAAGCTGACAAACTGTTAGGATCCTCTCCTATGTCTGACAGCTGTCAAAAGTTAACAGATCTATGGAGGAGATTCCTGACCAGAACAGCTGTTGTTACTCATGTAATTTTTCAAAGTCCATGAGGGTTCTTATCTCCCCAGCTACACTCCTCAGCAGAGGATCTACCCATTTGTCATGGATATCTCTGGCTGGCTGTTCATTGCTTGCTATTTCGTAAGTTAATAATTTTAGTGCCAAAGTCTGTTACTTCATAAAAATTGTCAGTTGCTTCCTTTTTCACTTGGAGGAGTAGGAACTTCAACAGTGAAATGAAGAATTTGTCAGCTTTCCAAAGTCTCCTACCAGAAACTTTCTCTTCGCTGGCAAGACAAAGCTCTGCCAAATTTTATTCTATCAAATGCTATTTCGACATCTCAGACCAAGATGTAAGCTGCTCATCTGCTACAGCAAGCAGGACAGACACCTGTTTCACTTCTGGATGATGCAACTCTTTTTAAGAGTTCAAATTGTGTTTAAGTCTGGATGACAATTTTTTTTTTTTTTGATTGGCGGGTATAGAACAGTAGCCTGTGCCACACTGTGAAGTTAGCCAGTGACTTCAATGAGCTGCCTACATCAAATTGCTCCACAAAAAGTTGCCTGAAAACAGTGTATCTGCTTTTTTAACCCAAGAAGGGGTGGGAAGAGAAGTCTCTTTTGAATTATCTTATAGATAACTCATTAATAAGCTGTATAAATATATATGCATAGATGAAACACCACTTCTACTGCTGACAGTTTTGTTCTGATGCTTTCTAAAAATTCAGATGGTTGAGTTCAAGCTTGCACCTTTGTTTTTCCCTTTCCGTTAATCAAACTGCGTGACACTACTATACAGGTAATCTAAGTTACACTGCCTTAATAGCGTCACAAGATGGATGCACTGCATAGGAAGATATAACTAATTTATCAAGTTGTGTGTGGCATGAAAAAATTGAATTAATGGAACTATTTAAAAATACATATTAAATCAAGGTCTTGCTTCGAGTTCTGATGATTTAAATTCCTGTTACACCCACTTTAAAACTTACAGCTTTTGATACATGAACTTAAATATCACCGCTGTATTAATCACCACCAGTATCAGCGGTAATTTTTGATCACTGACTAGAAATCAGTATGTGCAAAGCACACAGAAGAGAATACATTTTTCCCCTCCTCTTCTGAAGAAGTCTGTATTTTATGATGTGAATAGAAGCATAATCGTAGAATCATAGAATGGTTTGGGTTGGAAGGGAGCCTAAAGATCATCTAGCTCCAACCCCCTGCCACGGGCAGGGACACCATCCACCAGACCAGGTTGCTCAAAGCCCCATCCAACCCTGGCCTGGAGCACTGCCGGGGAGGGGCCAGCCACAGCTTCTCTGGGCAACCTGTGCCAGTGCCTCACCACACTCACAGGAAAGATTTTCTTCCTCATATCTAATGTAAATCTCCCCTCTTTCAGTTTGTAATCGTTACCCCTTGTCCTGTCACTACACTCCCTGGTAAACAGTCCCTCCCCACCTTTCCTGTAGGCCCCCTTGAAGTACTGGAAGGCTGCTTGAAGGTCTCCCCAGAGCCTTCTCTTCTCCAGGCTGAGCAACCCCAGCTCTCCCAGCCTGTCCTCACAGGGGAGGTGCTCCAGCCCCCTGATCATCTTCGTGGCCTCCTCTGGACTAGCTCGAGCAGGTCCATGTCTTTGTTGGGGGGGGCCCCAGAGCTGGACGCAGCACTGCAGGTGGGGTCTCACCAGAGCAGAGTAGAGGGGGAGAATCCCCTCCCTCAACCCGCTGGTCACACTTCTCTTGATGCAGCCCAGGATACAGTTGGCTTTCTGGGCTGTGAGCGCACGTTGCTGGGTCATATTCAGTTTTTCACCCACTAGCACCCCCAAGCCCTTCTCCCCAGGGCTGCTCTCGATCCACTCATCCTCCAGCCTGTGTCTGTGCTTGGGATTGCCCTGACCCAGGTGCAGGACCTTGCACTTGGCCTTGTGGAACTTCATGAGGTTTGCATGGGCCCACCTCTCCAGCCTGTCAGGGTCCCTCTGGATGGCCTCCCTTCCCTCCAGCGTGTCGACCGCACCACACGGCTTGGTGTCATTGGCAAACTTGCTGAGGGTGCACTTAAACATATAGTTATGAAGCTATATAGGGCATTTAAGTATCCATTTTATATATA